AGTCTTCCTAGATCTTCTGAATCTCCCTACTCAGCCAACTTCATGCTCTATCAAAAACAAAATACAAAAACCACCAAACTGTAACACACCCGTACGCGCACATGCGCAAGGAAAACATAGATCAACTACTCCTGAGCATGAGTCCTGCCTAGGAGTGTGATTGACAGACTCTATCACTCACTCAACTGGAGAAAACTGATTTTCCCTCTGTAAGCAAGTATCAATTACAAATAACGCCCTGGCTAGGGGTGGGACTTTGGGCCCACTTCCCCTTTTTCATGCTAGCATTTGGGGGCCAGGGGCGGGGCTTGAATTTGTGCAGGTCTTGTGCATGCTATCACAGTCTCTGTGACTTCATATGTGCACCAGCCCTGCTGTGTCCGGAAGACTTGTTGTTTCCTTGGAGACATCCACTTCTTCTGGCTCTTAAAAACTTTCTGCCTCCTCTTCTGCATAAACCCCCAAAACTTGAGGAAGGCTTTGCATAGACATCCTATTTAGGGCTGCATGCTCCAAGATCTCTATTCCATTGGGTTCCAACAGTCTGGTTTAACTCTCTTTCCAGAGTTGTTTTATTTTTATTTTTATTTTTAATAGTTTTCCATCATCTTTAAGAATTCTTTATGTTTTTAAAATGACATTTGCCTAGGGGCAGTTTCCTTTGTGTTTTGGGACTTAAATATGTAAAATGACTCTATCACAAATTTTGGTAGTTTATTGTCCATTTATCTTTTCAGATATTTCCTGATTTTTCTACAGGGCTCATAATGTCTTACTAGTCACTAGATGTGTATAAAGGAATCCTGGAAACTAAATTCATTCTTTTTTTGTAGGAGAAAATTTTGTTCTTTCAAGAATTTGGCATATAGGGTGTGGGCATAATCCCTCAATCTAGTTAGGGATTGAGCTAAGTAGATACAGTCATGGTCTATGTTTAAATGTCTCTAGGACATGATTTGGGTATGTTTGTGATAAACTCTTCACTCTAGGGGCTTTATCTACTACGCATCTATTCCCAAATAAAGTTCTTGGGTGTTTCTTAGAATTTTTTGGCTCAGTCTCCCAGCTCATCAATGTCCATCAAACAGTGCAAATTTCACAAAGAAATAAGCCATGCATATGGGAGTTTTGTAGATTGCACCCTGGATCAGCTCACACACCAAATAAGTTTGTAACAAGCTTACAAACAAGTGGCTCATTGTTTAATTTTTCCCATAGTAAACTGACTTTGTCTATGCCAAGTTTAATCCTCAGCCTAGACTTGAACTTGGCAAATATTCTCAGAGAATTAGGAGTCGTCATCTATAAGGTGGACAGCACTCTATGACATTTTAGTTTTTTTCCTGCACAAGCTGTCTGCTATTAAAAGGACTTAAAATTTTTATATTATTTTCTTAGTTGTTATACTAAAAGCAATAATTTCCTACTACCTACACCATACTTTTCACTTTCAGAAGACCTTATAAAAATATGTAATGTAGTCAAGCATGGTGATACACAACTGTAATGGAAGTACTGGGAGATGGAGCTGGGTGGATTGGGAGCTCAAGGATACCCTGTGATACACAAGTTCAACACCAGCTTGAGCTACAAAAAACATATTTAAAAAAAAACAATGGTTATGACATGTCTAGCCTATCAATCAAGGCTCTTTGCAATATAATCTTAACCTGTATTTACAGAGTTTTTCCCAGTTTCTGAGTCTTGACTATGATCTTCAGCAGCTTCACTGAAGAAATCTGCCTCCCACTCCCTCACCATTTTATGTTTTTGCTTATTTTATTCTAGGTTTTGGTACACCCTTTCTCTTTCTATATATGAACAATCACCAATCTCTGGGATATTTCTAGGGTAGCCTGAAGTAATATATTACCAAATGTACTGTGTTTTGATACAAGGTACACCTATTAACCCAGGCTAGTCTTGAACTATATAGGACAGGCTGACTTTGAACTTGAGATCTTCTATCAGCCTTCTAAGCACTGGAATTACAGACATATGTATGCCACAACAACCAACTACTAAGTACAGATTTTTCAATGTTCCACTAACTTTTGACTTTCTTTACCTAGTCATCCATTAATAAGATCTCATGGCTGTGAATAATGCTAGAATGGATCTAAGAATGCATATTATAATCGAGGTTATAATTTCCTTCAGTTATAAATCCTGGTTAGATATTGCTGGATCATATGGAAGTTCCATTTTTAGTTTTTTGAGAAATTTCCAAATCTTTTAATAGCTATACCAATTTATATTCCCATTCAGAGGAGTACAAAGTTCTTTTTTTCTTACCAACAAGGGTTCTCTTTTATCTTTGGATAATATCCAATGGAATGAATGTGACGTGTAACTGTTTTCCATTTGCACTTCCCTATCTTAGTAACTCTGAGTATCTTTTCGGGTACTCGGTCATTTGTGTCTTCTTTGGAAGAATGCTTATTCAGATTCATGGGCCATTCTTAAATAAGGTTTTTTTTGGGTGGGGTACTAAATTGTTTGATTTCCTTATATATTTGGTTAACCTCTTGTCTAATATACGGTTTGAGATTATTTTCCAAATACACAGGTTGTCATTTCACTTCTGGCTGCATAATTTTTTAGTTTTATGTGATCCCACTTATGTGTTTTTTGCTCTGTTGTTTGTGCTTTTAGCATCCTATCTAAAACAAATCCCAAAGTCAGTATTTCTTTTTGGAATTTTACAATTTTATATCTTATATTTAGATTTTTCCTCTGCTTTAACTTTTGTGTATGGTATAAAGATCCAATTTTATTATTTTTGTATGGGGGCTATCCAGTTTTCCCAATACGAATTATTGGAGAAATAGTATTTTTTTCTACATTGTGTATCTGTAGCTCCCTCGCTGAAGATTAGTTGGCTGTATGTGCTTATATATACTCTTGAGCCTTGATTCTGTTTCACGGGTCTGTGTGTCCATTCTCTTGTTATTAAAATACTAATTCTGGTAGCTTTGTAATATAATTAGAAATCAGGAAATATTGTATCTCAGATTTTGTTTTCTCCAAACTGCTTTGGCTGTCAGTTTTCTGTGGTGTCATATGGATTTTAGAATTATTGTTGCTACTTCTGAAAAAATGACACTGGAATTTGGACAGCGATTGCATTCAATCTGTAGACTGCTTTGGTATTACATTTTAATACTATTTATCCCAATCCATGGGTACAAGATCGCTTTCTACTTCTTTCATTTCTATAGTTTTTAGTGTACAGAGTTTTTACTTCCTTATATTGGCTATAAAATTTCCGAATGTCAGCAATGACTCTCCAGTCTAGATCTTTGTATTCTCTCTAACAGCAAGCACAGGGCAGAGTAAGCCCCAAGACCTTGAGGAAACCACGGTAATCTAGTTTTAGCATCTACATTTTAATATGAAGGAATTTCTAAGCTGAGGACAGACAAATTTCTGTTTCCTGAAACCCCGTGTTCAGAAATGTCAATCTACTTACTGCACTGCAGGGTATTTTCTTCTCTACAGTGTTCCTTCTGTTTTCCCTGTCCTCTGCTCTCAGGCTGTAATAGATACCTGTGTTCCTTCTGTCTTCCCTGTCCTCTGCTCTCAGGCTGTAATAGATACCTGCTCTTACGAAGGCATTCAGAATTACACATGCAGAATTACAACCACACAACATTAAGTACAGTTGAGGTTGTTGTTTCATGCCTGAAAACCTGGAACACTATGTGTCTGTGTATGTTACATATATGTATACAGCATCAAGGGACATCAATATTACTGTTTTTAATATACATTACACTGAAGAAAATTACTATGCTTTCAAATAAACGCCAAAGTAAAGTCATTTCCACTGATGATTATATTTTATGCATATTAGTGTCTCAGTAATGTGCTTGTGCCGTATTTGATTATACTCACCATTTGTAGTCTCTATAACTTGTCCTTTCTATAGCAGTACATGTACTCAGTTTTTCAAAATCAGAAAACATTATCCCTAACTTCCCCAACAGATCATAGTATATTGATACCTTGTATTTTACTTACCCATTTAATGCTCAGAGTTTTTGAAGTATCCATCCATTAGCTATTACCTAATTAACTATATATGCCAACACTCTTACAAAAGGTTTTATACTGGAACATACCCATCCAGCTATTTCATATAACCAACTGAAAGGATATAGCCTGCATGTGCAACTGTTACTAATTAAAAAAAAAATAGCTCATATCAAGATGGTCTGTTTTTAAGGAAGACTTCCAAGAGTGAAAGAGTATTTTAAAATCATGTAGGTTTTTGTTGGGGGGTGGGTGGGTCATACAGTTGTCAGCGCTTACTCTTGGGAGCTGCTAACCATGGCAAAGTATATTTACACTCCTTTCTTGCTGCGAGCAAGGCTTAGAGGAGTAGCCCATCTGCTGTCACCTAGCACTGACCGTCGTGGCGGACATGTTTGTCTTATTCTGAAGTCCAGTATCAAGAATCATCTGCTCATAGATCAAAGCTTAATCCTCCAATCCAGCCTTTCGAGTATAAAAGTAATATTCTGCTTGTCAATCTACTAATTTGTTAGTTTTACATGTCTGGAATTTGAATGAAGAGGACAGTTGCTGTTTTATTTTTTTCAACAACTCTAACTTTCTCTGCTGAATTTCAACTTATGATAGGATAGGAAAGGGTGAATAGGAAAGGGTGAACAAGACAATAATAACTAATGTGACCAAGTGAGATATGCAGCATATATCCTTGTTCAGTTACATCCTTTGCATTTAGTATGCTCTGAGATACAGACAGCTTAGGGGATACATTTGGAGAAGGCTCTAGGACTCCTAACTCCCCATGAGGCAGTTTGTTTGTTTGTAATTGGGTTTTGCTAACAATACTATTTTGGTCAAAAAGAAGAATGTGCTTTCCTAACCATGGTGATAAGTGTGATAATACAAGAATATTATGAGCTGTCTGTAAAGTTCAAAGCTGGCATTTTTAGGTTTGGGGCACCTTTGTTTTTACAATGACAAGTTACCTTTATAAGTTGGGACGGTGTCCAGCTTCCCTTTTTGAACTGGTTGTCTTTCAACAGGCCGGACTTTCACCACAGGCTGTACTTCGTAAGGATTAAAATCTCGCTTGTAGGTAGTCCCAAGATCAATTTTCCCCTGTTTGGGTTTATACTCTTCCGGAATGTGGCGTGGCTGCTTGACTACTTCGTAAGGACGATAATCTGACCTGAAATATATATAGATGTGTGTGTGTGTGTGTGTGCGCGCGCGCGCGCGCACGTGTGAAACTCAGTCTCACTGGTTCTTCTGTTTTGATTATCACAGTACTAAAATCTTCAATTCTGTCTTACTTGAACAATCTAAGGAGATATTAAAATGGTAATAATTGATTATTTGAAAGGAGCAATTGAATTGTTTTTAAGGTTCTATCCAATGATAAGAAAAAACAAAAAATCCTAGTCTTTAAAAATTGAAACATCTCAATTTGATCTTGTAAGTAAAATTCTCAAGTAACTGAATTTTATTTTTTATCTAATGTAGAAGGAAATCTCAAAAGAAAGATTTGATGAGCTGATAAATTTGTCAAGATTAGTTCTGTATCCACTTTGTCAAAAGCCACATTCACCTATATAGACTATACCCAGGCATAGTGCCTTCCTATGAAGTCACAATATCTTCCTGTGCATTGTTAAAAAGATCACTAACTCTGGCTCATAGTACAGATGTGAGCCTTACTAAGACTTTGGATCTCTCAGAAGTCCTGGCCATAGGTAGGAATGAAATGGCAATCTAACTATCCTGTGCATTATATAACATGACTGTGACAGAGTTGGTACTGCAGGGGCTGAGACAGTACACTGGAATGAAGGAAACCAGAGAGATTCAAGACCAATGGGACTGTCTGAATCCAAATCCTGGCTCTGTCACTCAACAGCTGTATAACCTTGGATAACTTGGTTAATCTGTCCATGCCCTTGTTTCCTTATAAGTAAAGTTGGACGATATTATGATGTACATCACAGTTATTTTAAAGATATACACTGTCAATTCTGGCAGTCACCTAACTGAGCTACAATTATGCTTTCAAGATAAAAAATCTTACACAAGTTCACACAGTCTCTTCCTGTGTTATAGAAACATATAGTAGAGAATGATACTTATTCTTTATACAGATAAATCACCCTTCAATTTCCTAGTCACTCTGATCAACACAAGCAAAATCATGCCAGAGTTCTAAGGCCCTGCTTTTAGGAATGTTGGGTACCTACTCTAGGTAATGGGTATGGTAATAGGTTCCTGAGGAAAGAACGCTGAGAAAACAACAGATGTACATCCTGCTGGTGTGGAACACTGAACTGACTCTAATAACAAATTGGAAGATATTATGAGAAGTTATGAGAAGGATATTTACTTGGCCTCAAAAGCTAAATAAATAAAAGGTAGGGTGGCAGAGATGACATTTACAAAGGAAAATTGTGTTGATATTTACAGATCAGATGAGTATTAGCTAGGGAAAGAGGGAGGGAGAATTCCAAACAGGGGGAAAAAAAACTAGAGAAGCAAGCAGGGTTTGATAATCCATGTAGTAGTTATGGAAGGGATTGAGTCTATGCTAAACAATAGGAATGCTTTAAAGTATTTCAAGCAGGATCATAAATAGGATTAAATCTGCATGGCTTAAAAGATTGCCTTGGCAAGTTAATGTATTGGATACCAATCAGAGATGTAAAAACTAGGACACACACATATACATACCCACACATACATGCTTGTATGCACATGCACAAGTATAAACACACCCACACACACCCACAAACAAACAAATTAGGAAGAGGCATTCCTCTAGATGGTGGTTACAGTGCCAAGTACATAAATATGAGATATTTTAATCAATAAAAAAATCAACAAAACCTTTTGTTTTTTCCTTTTCTTCTCTTTGCCAAAGTAACTTAATTTCTAACTGTCTGTTTTTCTCAAGTCATAATCAGTTTTTGCTTCTCAAATTAGTTCAACTTAATTCAACTAGCTAGTTAAATTTAAATAGTAAGAAAACTTAAGTTCAGAAGAGTTGGGCAGAAAAATAAGAAAACTGTTTCTAAATATTTACTTAAATGTAGTTATTCCTTCCATTTTACCACGGTATGCTTGAAATTCTTGCTTGGGTTTAAGACTCTGAGGTGGAAGAACATTGCCATATTTTGGATATTTTTCCAAATACTCCGTTGTGGGGCAAGATATGCCAGAATGTTCATAAACCCTTGTGGTTCCATGTGGACAACGATGCCGTCTGTACAAACAAATAAACTGAAACATTATTTTGCCTTAAAAGCATCTGGTGTGGTTATTGCATATTAACAGGGTTCCCAATGAACTCACCACTTTGAACTTCAGCACAGCTTACCCCTCTGCAATGAAGCTTATAAAAAATAAGTAAATTACAGTATAGCCTTATGTAGCAGAAACTGGTTTTGCTCATAGTAGTTGAGTGACTTCTTATGCTACTGAAGTAGAAAAGCTAGCAAGTGAATTTCCTAGGAAGAAAACTTCCTGGCAGACAAGTTTTCCATTTCGGTCTCACCTACAACAGATCCTTACAGGTGACTGATTGAGAACACAGCTACAAAAGAAAGGAGGAAAAGCGCAGCATCTGTTCTGGGGAGCAGAGCTGGGGCATGGGATATAGTAGAGGCCAAGAGGGCTTGAGCTGGGAGATGTTAGGCAGCATCCTGACTCCACATCTCCTTTATTCTTCCACGTGTCTAAGAAGCTTCCAAGTCCAGGAGTCCGGAAACTCAGTAATGTCCACTGAAAATGAAGCTGTTGTAAAGGGCTGCAGTGATTTTGTCTCATGCAGGGTCCCAGACCCTTGGAAAATCCAGGAGCAGAGTACACAGGTCATACATAAAAGTTCTCATAGAGTTGCACTGATTAACAGAACACAAGCCAAAGCTTTGGAATTTGTTATTGTTTTTATTGTCCACCAGAGCACTGCATTCAGAGTGTAATATACCAAAGACTGTGGACAAATATAAGACATAAAAGTGCAGATAAATTATTATAAAAGAAAGCAAAAGCCTCCTAGCCTAACATTTGCAATCCTTAAAAGGAAAATTTCTTCCTTCTGCTTTATAGTTTTTTCTGGTAGTTATAGCTGTTTACACTTGTTAACTCTTTGTCTTTTTGAAGAAGTGTCTCACAGAAATGATGAAACTAGCCAGCCATGGTGGTGCACACCTATAATCCCAGCACTCGGGAGGCAGAGACAGGCGGATCTCTGTGAGTCTGTTCCTGGTCCTGAGTTGCAGGCCCGCTACAGCTGTTACACAGAGAAACCCTGCCTGGAAAGACAAAACAAAACAAAACAAAACAAAACAAAACAAAACAAAACAAAAGTGAAGTTAGATGTCCCTAATGGGAGATCAAAGGAATTGAATTTGGGGGTATAGCTCAGTGGTAGAGCATTTGACTGCAAAGGAATTGAATTTGAGGTTCCTAAGAGAGAACAGATGGCATTATGGTTTGAGTCTGAAAATGCTCACATGTTTTGAATCCTTGCTTCTCAGCTGATGGAACCATTCTGGAAGGATTTTGGAAGCTGGCACCTACCTGGTAGAAGTAGGTGGCTAATGGCAGCCCTTGAAAGATGACAGCCTGGGTCCTTTCTACTTCTTGGTCTGCCAGCATGTGAGAAGCCTGCTTCATGTTCCAGGAACAAGAACTTCCCCATGCCTGACTGCATGGACCACACCCTCTGGGACTGTATGCCCAAATAGACCTTTCCTCCTTGTTCCTGTCTGGTATTGCTACCACAGTGATGCAAATGGACCTAAGGGATGGTCTTCAACAACAAAAAGAATAGGGAAAGATCTTCCCTCTTCCCTTCCAACAGGACAGGAGGCAAAAGATGGGGTGGGGAAGGACGACAGTGAAGAATCTTTGCCCCATTCTGAGTGTCCCATGGAGGCAGCCACATTTTAAAACCACTGGCTGAGGGCAACTATGCATGTCCTAGGAACTCTTCAAGATTCCTGGGCCTCCTGGATAAAAAGGAAAGCAACACAGGCGCTGCTCTCAGAGGAACTAAGCTTCTTCAAGGGACATTTCAGTAGACGCCACCAGCCACGCTTCAAAGCTTAAAGGGGCTGCTTCTTACATTGGCAGCGCCCCACCTCTTTGGATAGTGATATTATTTGAAGAATGAGGAGTCCCCAGTATCATGCATTTCTTGATGGCTGGATGTGATAATAACTTACATTGTAAATAAACCAAGATTTTCTTTCTTACCAGATTTTGCAGATTCATACCTTAAAAGTTATGTTTCCACCCATTCAAACATTATTATTTGTATTATTATGAAAGAGGCTTCAATCAACATGTATTGTAGGTGGTTGCCCTTAGAAGGGGATCAGAAATACAAAGCGCTTGGCATTATTCATAGTTACTTAGCAAAGGTGATCTAATCCCTGGGTCAACAGCAAGGCTGAGGAAAGAGAAGAATGTGTTTACCGGTGGCAGAAGGTTGTTAGGCGGCACTTACAGACCAAATCTGCGGTTTAGGGTGGGGATTCCTGCCAGTTTCGCTTGTCAGGCAGACCCCAAGAGAACACTGCCTGCGCAGGGATAAGAATAAGGTTTAGAGGATGCAAAGCCCTGGGTTGCAAACCAAAGACCCTGGGTACCGGTCTTTTACATTAACCAACAGAATTGGGGTGGGGGTGGAGGGCAAGAACTCCCCCTGGACCAGATTCCATCACTTACCAGCCATCACAATCACTTATTTGCTCATACTACTTCTCAGGCCTGGACTGTATGTCACTTTGAAGCTCTGGATAGGAAGCCTCGGGGAATGCAAAGAAGTAAAGTTTTGCCCCAGGAGCCAATCAAGTAGAGAAAAAGGGCGCACTCGCCCCTCAGGCAAAGGAGTATGGTGGGGGGCGGAGTGCAGCGGGAAGTTAGCAGTGCTTACGACCCCGCCGACGCCGCAGCGGCCGGCTGTTTCTTACCCGCAGGTGCAAATCTGACACAGACACCAGTTCCTCATGCCCTTGGCTCCAGCGTCCTTCTCCGCAGGGCTGCAGCAGCCGGCACTCCAGAGCAGGTACAGCGTCCGCGGTCGTCAAGGCGACCACGGGACTCCACGAGGAAGGGAGTGATGCAGCTTCCGGTGGCGTTCAAGACGCGCGCGGGTCAGAGGTCGCAGGCCTCGGAGGCCCCGCCTCCCGGCGCCGGCGGCTTCCGGCTTGAGTTACTCCTGGAGCCTCAGAAGCGTGAGTCAAGTGCGGCGTGAAGCCGGTGAGTGGGGGTCCGCCTGCTAGGGACGCCGGCGACCGGACGGTGCTGGGGACCCGGGGAGTCGTGTCGGTAGGGCTAGGTGAGCAGGGCACGGAGCAGCTGCACCTCTTAGCAACCTGGGACCCTTGGCGACAACGACTCCCGGAGTCCGAACGGAGGAGGAAGGGCTTGCAGACCTGGCTTTGCCTTTTTTAACTGGAGAGGCATGGGCGATGTGTCATGCACCTGCTGAGTTCCCAAGCACGTGTTCCAAAACTTTTAAGGACACTCGGTGCAGTCACAGGGCCGAGGTCCTTACGTCTGGTGAAAGCCAGCAAGCTTAACCAGAGCGGCAGACTTTCGGAGGGGCTACAGTGGGGAAGGGGGAGATGTCCACGGACTTTTCCTGTGGTCCTCGTGGGCCAGAGTACCTGAGTGCGTGGTGTCACTTAGACGGGCGTCTCTGCATCCAGCTGCGTGATTCATCGCGCCGCAGATCCGGAAATTCCCAGCGCACTCCACAAGTACCATAAGGGTGTGTGGACTTGACAGTGGATCTTGGGCCTGTAGTGCCATATCCCGTCAGGGGCAGAAGGAACTAGATAGGGCTAAACATTCCTTGGGTTCTCAGTTGAGAAATCTGAGGCGGCTTGAAACCCCAGCATCTGTCTCTCAGCTTGTCCATTTTTTTTTGTTGTTGTTGTTGTTTCCCTCTGACTTTTAAATTTTGTACCACTTGTAATTTGCATGTAATTTTTAGTCACAGGAAATAATTAACCATGGTGCTCAATGGCGTTGATAAGATGATTCAGCTTCAGAAAAACACTGCCAACATCAGGAATATCTGTGTTTTGGCTCACGTTGACCATGGTAAGACTCTTTTAAAATGACTTTTTATTAACAGAGAAGACATGTCTCTATATGTTTCACCGGAGTGATGAAAGTGATACTTGCTTGCTAAGAAGTTGTGTGTACGTCATGTCAGAGAAGCATGCTGTAAAACATTCGTAATAAACGGGTTAACTGGTGATTAGCATTCTTCTGTGTAGGATTTCACATCATGCTTTTAAGTTTAAACTTGGATTTTGGTTAAAATATGGAAAAGTTTTTGAAATATTAAAACATTGATGGTCTTGGTAGAGCGTATCTCCTAATTTAATTCATCACATGCTGAGTGAGCGTCTCTTAAGTTTGCGGCATTCTGTTAGATTTATCAGGAGCTAGACATCTCTGAGGAGGCCACCTTCCCAGCTGTAGATGTTTTAGGGACAAATATGTGATGAGATGGGGGCCGGGAGGGGGATATATAAGAGTTCTGAGAACTGGAGGATTCGGTAGCCAGATTGGGTTAAGAAAAGTTGTCAACATGCCCTTTGAGGAGGGGACTCCAGCTGATAGGTGGGGACAAGCATTACAGGGGTAGACAGAAACAGATGTGACTTAAAGTTCAGATACAGTAAAGGTCGGGTTGGCTTACACTTGTGGGATTCAGATCAACATTCCCTGACACTGTCAGACTGAGTCTGCTTGCCAGTTGAAACTCTCTCTTCTAGTAGCCAGAATTCAATTTTAGAATGGCAAGTGAAGTCAAAACTACTCAGCATTTTAAAGGAGAGGGAGTGGACGGGGAAGAGGCAAGCTGTGTCCTGTCTCTTGGAGCTTGGCATGGCTGCAAGGCTCTAAGAGAAGAGCTAAGCACTCTGGCCCTGCAGTTAGACATCCTTAACTCTGGCCTCTTCAAATGACTTTGCCTATCTGGGCTTCAGTGTACAGCCTATGTAAGGGGACAATCAAGAGAATCTTGTCAGCAGTGAAATACTTAGCCATGAAAATGGTCATTAACATGTTTCCTTAGCATGTAAGGAGCCATGGGGGAGGGGGGAGGCAAGGGCAGAGTACGAAAACTGTAGATTAGATTAGACAGGTAAAGGTGCTTGGGTGGGTTGAAAGGCAGAAAGGAGGCGTGGTGACTCTTGTCATTAACATGAGCTCTGAAGAGAAGGTGGGTAGCACAAAAACTGAGAGAGAATGGTTCAGGTTGTAGAAACTGAGATTGAGTTTGGTTTACAAATCAGTGGCAACCTACCCCGTGGGTTTTATGGTTATATGTACATGTTCCGAGGCTCTGAGGACTAGCCAAAGGTTTTACTTTGTTTCTTTTTTCCTTTTCCTTTCGGTTTTGTTTTTGCTCTGAGAACTAAATAGCAGATGCACTAGTGTGTATGTATCAAACATTGTTGTCCAAGGGATCCAGCCTTGCTTAATAATGGGAAGTCCCCTCTTTTGTGGTCCATTCTAAGGGGTGTGTGTTTGCCAGACTTAGAGTGCATTCTGCTCTGTTGCACAGCAGGAAAGTGATATTCTAGGATTATATACTAAAACACATTCTTCGGAGGGACTGTTGATTGGTCCCTGGCTTATGCTGTTATATAGATCCCACAGATTATATATTCACAGACTACAGAAAGCTGGATTGAAGGAAAAATCCAACCATTTGTTAGGCCTACCCAACTGTGGAAATTGAGTGTGCCATGTCATTCTTTAAACACGGGTAGCTGTTTATGCCCCTTTACAAAGTTGTGTAAACTTTGGCAATAGTCTAAAAAAGGTAACTATAAATGTATATTTGATTATGCAAAGAATTTCTTTTATTATAAAGTAGATTCCAGGTTTAGTTTTGAAACAGGATTGTAGGGCTGGAGAGGTGGCTCAGAGGTTAAGAGCACTGACCGCTCCTTCAGAGGTCCTGAGTTCAATTCCCAGCAACCACATGGTGGCTCACAACCACCTGAAATGATATCTGGTGCCCTCTTCTGGCATGCAGACATGACACTCTGTGCATAATAAATAAATAAATCTTAAAAAAAAAAATGAAAGAAAAAAAAAAGAAACAGGATTGTATTGGCTGCTGCTGTGTAGCGCTCTCCAAACTGTACTGTAAGCAGAAGAAAAACAAATTTTCTGATGAAATAAATGTAACAGTTTAACAAATGTTGAGTGTCACACAAAAGTAATTATGACAGAAGGCTGTGTGCTGTCATTTCATGGTGACAATTTACCCAGTGCACCTTTCTGAGGTAAATGCTATTGCTGTCCTTTTGACATTCTGAGCCTTTAGAGCCTATGATCCCTTGTGCAGGATTGTTGGTAAATTATTAATTTATTCCTTAAAGTCTAGATTATAGCAACTAATATAAACATTGTAAAAGATGATCCCTATTTTAATTCTCCTAGTGGTTTACCTCACCAGAGACAGATGTTTACTCTGTAGAGTCTGCCTCAATTTAAGAAAATTTCTGTGCTTAACATTAATCTGACAACTTCTTAAGTGAAATTGGTGAGGTCCACAGGTAGAAAATACAGCACTATAGAATGCTAGCCCCTTTAGATGAATGTATTGTAATTAATGTTATTTTAACAGGGAAAACTACCCTTGCTGATTGTCTTATATCGAGTAATGGAATCATCTCCACCCGTCTGGCAGGCAAGGTATGTTGTTAGATTTGGTAAATACTTGTTGCATTTTAATGAGTATTAGCTATCTGTAATGTCACGATCCATTTGCATTATTCTTAAGTGATCTAAACATGTAGAAGGAAATGACAACGGGATACTCAACCAATCTCTGGACATGCTCACCAGTTTCAGGACATAGTCCCCAATCTCAGGACATACTCACCAATCTCAGGATGTAGTCCTCAATCTCAGGACATACTCACCAATCTCAGGACATAGTCCCCAATCACAGGACATAGTCCCCAATCTCAGGACATACTTACCAATCTCAGGACTTAGTCCCCAATAACAAGACATACTCCCCAATCTCATGACATACTCACCAATCACAAGACATACTCACCAATCTCAGGACATAGTCACCAATATCAGGATTTACTCACCAATCTCAGGGCTTACCTGCCAAGTCCTAGGAGTACCTGATAGTCTAGAAGTCTTTCGAAGGGCAGAAAAATTTCATGTCAACCTTCTGATTGGGATATAAAAGTTATGGTTATGGAGCTGGAGAGATGGCTTAGTGGTTAAAAGCACTTGATACTCTTACAAAAAACCTAGGTTCTGGGTTCTTATTCCAGCATCCACATGGTGGCTCACAGCCTTCTGTAATTTCAGTTCCAGAGGTTCCCACACCCTCTTCTGGTCTGTAGACACTACATAGGTAGTATGCAAGACATGCATGTAGGCAAAATACTCATACACATAAAATAAATATAAACAAAATCTTTTCAAAATTATCATTACTAGCAACTTGAATCTAGTGTTGTTTAAAATGATAGTTCTTTTGAACATGATTTTAATATGACAATGGATTAAAGGAAAAATTATTTCAATAGATGTAAAAGATATTTAATAAAATTCAACATCTGTTGTAATAAATCCCTCTCACAAAGTATATTTAGAAGATAACCTTTTTTTTTTACAAAACTACAATAAAGATTGAATTTAATTATGAAATATTAAAACTTTTCTATTCATGAATAAATAAGATTGGTTATTGTATCCTACTGTTTGTATTTTAACTTTTAATTTACATTGTTTTGGAGATTATAGCTGCAAAATAATTGAGTTTTGGAAAGAAAATAACTATTAACTAATAAATGCTCTGACTTTGTAGAAAAGAAAAAAATAAGGGGCTAGAGAGATGGCTCAGTGGTTAAAAGTGTGTGTTGCTCTTGCAAAGGGCCTGAGTTCAAGTCCCAGCACCCACATGGTGGTTCATAAACATCTGTAACTCCAGTTCCAGAGGATGCAAAAAGTCAAAAATTATAAATTAACTGCTAGAATATAAGTAAAGAATTTAGCATATTTCAGGATATACAAGTCATTGAAAAGAAATACACATCAGCAATAAGTAGACAACGAAAGATTTTAAAATCTGCCATATAATTAGAATAAAATTATATTAGGGTAAACTTAAACAACAAAGGTATGTCATGTTTGTGTTTTGTCAGAGTCACTATTTAAAAACTTATGGTTGTTTCATATTGATCTACATATTTAGCAATTAGGAAAAATTCCAATAGTTTTTTTTTTTTTTGAAAAAAATAAATTGGATATGCCATTTTAAAATCCTAGGAGAGTGGGATGTGGTACTTGCTGTCTTGAAAGATGGTAAAGCTTGTGAATGGCCTGTAACTTGGTTGTTTGGAATTGACTGGGGTATCACATTGGCTAATGACCTAGAAACAGATACATATGTGAGAACTTGACTTACTATAGATCTGGCATTTCAGATCTGTGGAGAAAAGATAATGTCAGTAAAGGATCTTTGGGAAGTTATTTAGCTATGTGGAAATAATACTGGACCAACCTGTATTTAATATCAAACAAAAATACCTGCATGTATTTAAAATGCACAAAAGGCCCAGCTTAAGTTTTTAGAAAATAGTAATGGATGTTACTTCTGTGACCATAAGGGAAGATACCTTGAGAAGGTAAAAACTACTGTATAAAGGTTGATTAATTCAGCTACATTTAAATGAATAACATTTTTATCAGATATGCCACAAAATGAAAAAATAACAAAAATGCATTATAATTAGGGAAAATATAATAAACATTTAACTGACAAAGAACTAATAATCAGAGACCATTTATAACACCTATCCAAAACAAACCTGTAATGTAACCAGTAGGAGGATGGGCCGTACATGGGTTCTTACAGAAGAGGAGTGGGAAATAGCTAAGCCGGGATAGTAAACTAAAGATGCTCAGTCCCTCAGAAGCTGGGAAAGTGTGAATAAAAGATGAAGTACTGCTTATTACTCACTGTTGAGTGTGGATTGGTCCAACTACTTTGGAAAACAATTTGGAAATATATGGTAGCATTGAAGATGTAAAATTTAGTGATTCAGAAATCTCACTTCTGGATTGTGTGTAAGAAACATGATCCCAACCTCCTTGTTTTAAAGATGTATTTACTTTAATTTTGTGTGTGTGGATGTTTTTACCTACATGCATATCTTTATACTTTGTATACGCAGTGCTGGTGGAGGCCGGAGGACAGCACACACATCTGATACTGGAGTTACAGACAGTTGTGAGCCACCATGTAGGTGCTAGGAATTGAACCAGGGTCCTTTGGAAGAGCCAGGCAGTGCTTTTAACCACTAAGCCATCTCTCCAGTCCCAATTCAAACTTCTTATCAGCTCAGTTACCAGTTACGTTACTAAAAACCAGTGAATTTACATATGTCCATCACTGGTAGACTGGATGAGTAAATGTGGTAGGTTTGTGAAGGAGACTCTTAGAGTGACCCATAGCTACATCCATCAAAATGATGACTTGGGCAACATTGGGCAACAATAATGTTGAGCAACAAAATATGTGAAAAAAAATATGTGTGTGTGTATGTGTATATATATATATGTGTGTGTATATATATATATATTCTTCATATATATATATATATATATATTCTTCAATTTATATAAGACTTAAAGTCTGCAATTCACAATGATATTTTACCAGAGCAGTGGGGATGGAAGTATTTCTGAAAACTAAAGAATTCATGTAGGATGAGAAAGTGTGGCAATCCTGTATTAGCACATTAGTCTCAAGGATTTTGATTAAAAGAGATGAATCTACATAAAGTTAAGACTTTATAATAGAGAGAATTACTCTAAGTAAGTAAGTACTTTACATATAAGCAGTAAAACTTTGGGAAAGCCATTAGCTAAGTTTTGATACTGTAAATATTTTCTACTATGTCATTCTTATAAAAAGGAGAGAACCCACACATATTTAAAATCTGTTACTTTGGAAAAGAGTTAAGGCTCCTCATTCCTCTAAAGACCTTCTGTTTCTTTTGGACTTCATCAAGTGCCTCTGGATAGGAAAAGGAGGCTGCATTGTGATAAACAGAAAGAACTCCAGATCCCTTTGTAGATTCTTTTGAACTATTTAATCCTTCCTAGCTGAGATGTAGATGCACAGCACTCTGGGGAAGCAGGATGTGAATTCATTTGTGGCAACACCTTTCAGTTTGTCTCTGCATTCTCTTGACTAACCTGGCTTCTCCAGCACTGTACCCCTTAAAAAAACCACAGAGAGCCGGGCGGTGGTGGCGCACGCCTTTAATCCCAGCACTCGGGAGGCAGAGTTAGGCAGATCTCTGTGAGTTCGAGGCCAGCCTGGGCTACCAAGTGAGTCCCAGGAAAGGCGCAAAGCTACGCAGAGAAACCCTGTCTCGAAAAATCAAAAAAAAAAAACAAAAAACAAAAAAAAAACCACAGAGAGCTGTATATAGCTTACATGTTTGAAATGAAAGCTAACTGCATTTTAAATGTTGGATTTTAGCACTGGAAAGTAAAGATATATATGTTGTGCTTTTCTAGTTAAGGTACATGGACAGCAGAGAAGATGAACAGGTCAGAGGGATCACCATGAAATCCAGTGCCATTTCACTACATTACGCAGAAGGTAAACCCATCTGTGTTTTAATTAACTCGATTTTCATCTCTCCTGACCCACCCCTTCTCTTTCTGAATTAATCAAATGCCTCGGTTTCTTTGCTTTGTGTTCCATGCATTTCATTCTGGCATCTCCAAATGATCTGTTGTCAGAGTCAGGCTGTCCAGGCTTGGATGCAGATGAGGACCTCTGACTGGCTTGAGGGCAGAAGAACTGGCAGTTCACAGCTGCCTCCCTCTACCAGGTGACTGGATTTCTTCACAAGGAAAGTCAGGAGCCAGGACTTGTCTAGCTCATCCTTAGCCTTCCGTTTCCTGGCTGGACCTCTCTTGTGCTCCATGGCCGGCAGGCATGTGAGACCTGGAGTCTTAGTTATGTAACTGTGGGTTGCTCTGATCACTGCTACCTGTTGCTCTGATCAGTACCATCTTGCTGTCCCCAAATACAGATGTCATTCTGATAGTAGCACAGGAGTTCTCTGACAGAAATGTCAGACAGATGCCAGAAGCTGTATATTCACAAAAGGTTTGTATTGGTGAAAACATCCAGTAACTTAAATGTTAAGAAGAGATTGGCTAACTGAATGTTACATCCACGCTGTGGAGTATTATATAGCCTTGAATGCTTAATTACATAGAATTATAATTCTATAGCTCATTTATTTATAATTACATGAAAACACTATGTTAAGAGACAGAAAAGCCAATTGTAGAGTATTCTATGGGTTATGAATGTGCATGTGTACATGCTTCTGGAAGGATACATTTTACACCGCCACAGTAGATATTTTCAGAAACTGGATTATGATAAAAATTTTTGCTTTTCAAAATACATATTTTTGTACTGATAGAAAACTTTATTCGATATGTATATTTTGAAGAAAGTAATAAAGATTTATTTCCCTAATGGAGTGACCTGTGGTTCATCCTTCACAACGTGGTATCTCTAGCACCCAGGGAGGCACTGTGCGGAGTGTGGCTATTTTCATTGACATTAGTCTTTAAACCATTTTTGTATCAATCTAGTTTTGGAACTTTAAAGCACACTAATCTCCAGTGTTTAATATTTCAAGTACTGCTCCTTTTTTTTTTTAAATGCTACCTCTGGTATTTTAAGGAATCTATTTCCATTCTGTGACCCAGAGAATGGTGTCCTAGAGCTTACCGAACTGTTTTGTAGACTTGAAGAGATTGTAACCTGTCATCTTTCTTTCATTCTGATATTGCCTTTTTAACTTGAAGATTCCTCTAGTGTCGGTTTTTGTTGCTATGCCCCGTTTCTCTACTCACTCTCGCTGCTCTTGCCTACTTTATTCAGGTTTTACTTGTATGCCATGAAATCCAGCTGTTCCACATCCTAGTTGACTTTCTGATAGAGATGTGGAAAATGGCCAATAGAACCCTGGGAACTGAGTGACCTAACATGTTTTGTTAAACTCTAGCTTTGGGAAGCTTGATCTTAGAATGTTCTAGATACATGCTTCTTTCCAGGTTGTACAGAAACAGAGAGGCAAGCTGTCCTGAGTTGGGGTGAGAATGGCTTGGTGAATGTATAACTAGAATGTATAACTAGTTAAAAATAACTAGTTAACGTGTATAATGTGAATGTATAACTAGTTAAAAAAAAACAAAAAAAACTTTCATGAAAATTTGAAAAAAAATGAGCATCTTATTGGAGTGACATTTTGTTTGTTAGTTTAGGGCCTCATAACCCATGCAGGTCAGAAACTCCTTACCTCTTTCCTGTCTCTACCTCCCTAATGTAGGGATTACAGCCATGCAGCACCATAGTTGCCTGTGTGTCTAAAACAGACTGACCACATCAGGTCAGTTTGTGATGTTTCACTCTTGTTTTCTCCCTATGCTTTGATGCGTGTATTATAGGTTTGCGCTACTTTTCCAGTCTCCTCCTCGTACTTCCCTGTCTCTGACCTCTCGTCCCTCCTCTTAGCTGGTCCTTTACCTCTTTTCTGTTGCTTACTGCTTTGTTTTCTTATGTTTCTGAACACATAGGCTTAAGATGTGCCTCAACTTAGGATTGACTTTTCTTCAGCTGCCTGGTCATCTACTCATATCAGTAAGAACTGGAGTCAATAAATATGAAACATGTTTCTCTGTGGGTATTGAATGAAAGCCAGAAGGGACTTTAGTCAAGGGCTCACCATACTTGACAACACAGAACTTAGCTTTCCTAATCTACCACAAAAGGATGAGTTCGGACCACTGTCGGACATTTTCTCAGAACTGAAGACATTTCCTCTCTGTAGTTGAGTTCTGATTCTCCAGAGTGGTGTTTTGTGCTCTGAAGATGGGACAGCCTAAAGGAGAACCTAGGTGAAGGAAGAGAGGGGAGATGCTGATGGTTAGAGAAACTCCACAGGTTGCCTCTCTCACCCCTTCCCATCCATTTGATTGCCTTAGGGAATCGTTACTAAATGTTAAGTCCTTTCTCTGGGTCTGATGCTTAATGAAATGGATTTTTGGTTTGTTTAGTTATATTTTTCATTCTTTCCTTGGATTGAAATAGAAGGCCTTATTCTAGTTTAAAAGGATAAGCTTACAATAATCTTGGAACAATCTAGAAATGATTGAAAACCATCAGAGTGATCCCAAGGTTCGCATCTTCCAGAGGCCCATTTCTTCTGTGGAAGCTGAAGTTTGTATTTAGTTAGTTATGCTAGCACTTGTTGTAAAATCATATTGTGAAACCAACATTTCCGTTTCTTACCCATCACTCACATCCCTTACACAGAGGTACCGTTGGTGTATCTTGTTATTTCAAGAATTGGGAAGCACTTTCTTCAGTATTCTAAGGTGATATAATGCCTTTGAATCTTTTAGAGCGCATGTATAGTAAGTATATTCAAAATTTAGACAATTTAAAATTCATGGTCTAGTTAGTTCTTGAGTAATCTCAAAAGGCATATTGCTGACATTTCTAATAGTCATTTTTTATATCTGTGAGGAAATATTGCCACCACAGAGCATTGCGTTTTAAGTTACTCAGTCCTTTTTAAATATTTTAAATAAAATTGCAAGTTTATCTTTTTTGCAATAATGAATACTTAGATCTTGTTATAGGATATTGGGTAAAATACTAGAATGGACTACAAATCACTCTTGATTTTGCTTCTTTATTTTTTTTTCAGTTTTTATATTTAATCCACAGGCATTTTATGTGAGCATATGAGTATATACTGAAGTAAACATATACAGCTTATCTTCCCCCACACAATTCATGGATTCCAACGTCAGTCAGATATTATTAGTTCTGGACTGGCATTGGTGTTTACATCTCTGACTGAGACTATCTGGGTAGGACTGGGTAGACTAGAGAGTAAATTTCTCCCATTCACAGTATATCCACAGCATATCTTTCCAACCCTAAGGTGAGGGCCAGTGCCATTTTGGCTTCATTGATTGATGCCATATGGGAATTTGCATTTACAAGAGTTTTGGTAATTTTACAAAAAGCTTTCAAAATCATAAAATTCTATGTAGAATAAATTGTGGTAGACTATAGTTCGTAACTGAATTTCTTTGTCATTGTAGGCGTATAGCTACCTCATTACTTGATTTAAGCAGGGCACTTGGGGATCACCCAAGTGGCAGCCACTCGTGCTGGGATTTACTTTGGGGAGATCGGAGACACAGCAAATTTCTGCAACAAGGCCCAGGTGCAGGGTCTTCTCCCTGGGGAAATGTGGTGAACAGGTTTAGAATTCACACTCATGGTAGCTTCTGCCCTGTGGCTCTGTCTTAACTCTTCAGAGACTGAGCCACAGGGAACTGAGTCCCTCAACTCCCCCACCAGGCTACACAAGGCCAGAGTGTACCAGAAAGTGTTTGGTATCATAGGGTTTCCTTTCCTTCTGCCTGTGTGTTAGTCTAAGAGGGGAGGATTCCCTTGTTCCTCATTTGACTGAAAGATCAGATTTTATTTCCCCTCTTAGGACAATGGCTTTCTTCATTTCATAAAGCATGTAGCTGATGCCAAGCTTAAGGTAAAACTTGGTGATGGTGAATTCTGAGCTAGATGTCTCATGCATGGTATTGTTTAATCCTCACAGCAACCCTCTGAGATGGCTCTCTTTATTTTACTTATGTGCAAACTGGACTTCAGAGATGAAGAACATTTATGAAGGACAGTAGTTTCTAGAATACAGTAGCCGGCCTAGGAACCAAGTGATTACATTTCCAGTCTACTCGCTTGGCTCTGGAGTCTGTTGGGAGCTAGGCTAGGCCCTGACTAATTCTTCCTGAAGCTTCGCTTCTTTCCACCACAGATTTTCTGGGATTACTTTTGGACATCTTGTGGCCAGCATTACCCACATCCCTGTTGTCCTTGGTCACTGCCCAAGATGTAAGCCACATGGCCCAGCCTCTCTTATGGTCTCGTTTCCATATTTCTTTGTGATTCTAACACCTCCCTCAACTTCCTCCTATTCCTCTCTTACCAAAACGTCCTCTGCAGACTTCCCAAGGCAAACATCAGCACACCCTCAACATCTCTGATGATGTTCCCTCCTCCTTGTTCTCAGCACACTGCTCCCCCTATGTTTCTTTCCTGTTCCTTGTCTCAGAATTAGGACACAGGGTTGTCATTCTTGCCCAGATTCTCATCCAGTGCTAGTTCTCCCCTATATTAAATCCCTGCAGGACACATACCATTCAGTTGCCTTTTTTTTCCTTAGTATTAGGAACTCCTGATGTGGCTCCCAGTGTACTGATGATTTGACACCTGACATGACTTCTCCAAAGTAGCTTTTACCATCCCTGAAAATGACTTCACTTACGGGCTGGCCTCGCAGTCACAGTGCAGCTTAGTGCATCACCTGGAGCTGACTCTCTTTGATATTTCAAATTTCAGTACTTGGGGTTGAGCGCAGTACAGCACATTTCCCCCACCTACTCAGAAAGCTGTGTACGGGATTACCTGAGCCTTTGAGTCTGACAGCAGCCTGGACAACACAGATCTCATCTCAGCAGCAGAAGTTTAACATGTGACTT